AGTTGTAGTGGGATTGTTATTGGGATTGCTCTAAACAAATATAGAAATTGTGGAAAAATGAATGACTTTAAAATATGGATTTTTTCTATCCATGTGGTGAGTGATGAGGAGATTGCTTGTGGTAGTTCTCGTAATTTCTTAGCTATTATGAAGTGGTTTTGCTGTAAAATGTTTGACAAGTTGATAGGTATATTTATTCCCAAATACCTCCAAAACTGTCTTGTCCAGGTAAATTTGTATTTTTGTTCTATTTGGGGTTTTAATGTCCAGTCTACTGTAATTGGGAAGAACACGGATTTGGAGGCGTTCACTGTTAGGCCTGATGCCTTCCCGAAGTTGTCTAATATTCCGAGAATTTCATCGATTGATGTTTCAGGTTGCGTTGTAGTTATTGCCATGTCGTCTGCAAATAAGCTCAGTTTTATTTCCTTATCTTTGGTGCGTATTCCAGGTATTTTGTGGTTAGTCCTAATGGCTTGGGCAAGCGGTTCGATCGCCAAGGCAAAAAGTAAAGGGGAGATAGGACATCCTTGGCGCGTTCCTCTGGATAATGTGATATTCGATGATTTCATTCCGTTGGTTTTTATTGTTGCTGTAGGTTTTGCATAGATGGTTGAAATCATATTCAAAAAGTTAGTTCCAAAGTTCATATTTGTCAGTAGGTTTTGGAGGTAAGTGGTTTCTACTCTATCGAAGGCTTTTTGAAAGTCCAATGAGATTATAAATGATGAGCTTATTTGAAATTGTTTGCAGTATTGAATTATATCTATCATTTTCCTCGTGTTGTCGGTGATTTCTCTGTTTGGTATAAAACCGGTCTGATCAGTATGGATGTAGTTTTCTATTATTTTGTTGAGCCGATGTGCCATTGTTGCTGTAAAAATTTTGTAATCCTGATTGAGGAGTGATATTGGTCTATATGAGCTAGTTAATGTGCAATCTCTATCCGGTTTAGGAATTAATATTATTGTTGCTGAGTTCCATGATGGTGGCATAATTCCTTGGGTTAGTACTTGGTTACATGTTGTCATTAAAGGTTCCGCCAGGAGGTGTGAGAATTTTTTGTAGAATTCTGCCATAAAGCCGTCTTCTCCGGGAGATTTGTTGTTTTTTAATTGTTTAATCGTTGCCTGGATTTCTGCCGTTGTTATAGGGGTCTCTAGCCACTCTTTGTGCTGCGTTGTTAGTTTGGAGTGAATTGGAAATTGCTGGAGAAAAGAATCCATAGATGCCGGTGTAGGGGAGTCCGATTTATAGAGTTTCGAATAGTAGTTTAGAAAGGCGTTAGAGATCTCCTTAGGAGAATAGACCGTGTGGCCGTCTTTGGTTTTAATTGCATATATTGCGTTGGCTGTAAGTTTCTTTTTATATTTCCATGCAAGTAATTTGATGGATTGTGGTGATTTGAACCAATATTTTTGCTTGGTATAGGCTATTTGCTTTTGGATTTGAGAAATTTCGATAGATTCGAGTTTTTTCCTTTCTAGCAGAAGAGTTTTATATATTCGTTTACTGCCATGTTTGCTGTGTTCTAATTCTAAAGCTTTGATTTTGTCTATCAGTTCTTGTTTTAATTTCTGTTTTTCTTTTTTATAGGCTGAGGCAATCGCAATTATCTTTCCTCGGAGTACTGCTTTCAATGAATCCCATATTATGTGTTGAGAAACTCCGCAGTTCGCGTTGAAATGCAAATATTCTTTGATATCTTTTTCAATGCTATCTGATGTTGATTGTAAAAATAAAAGTTTTGGATCCATTCTCCAGTTTTTGTGTCGTGTTTCTTCATTTCCGATTTCTGTAGGGCGATCTTGATCTATGAGCAGAGTGGGATGAATATCGATCCCAGTCGGAATAGCCTGCCGGAGTCAACCATGGCAAGGATGGTGGATAAGCCCCATACAGATACCTCATCTGTCGTTGATCCCAAAACAGAAGTGATGGCAGGGGTAAGAAGACTCGGGGGGGGATTGACTTCTGGACCGTGGACGTCTCGGAGACAAAGCGGCAGCCTGTCTTTGAGAGGAGCCCGTATTATCTCAGTTGTCGATATCGACAGATTGACTGTGCAGACGTGGAGGGTGACGCTGCGTGTCGCATGCAGCATATCGGTGCCAACGTGGATCGTTGCCGTCAACGACGACGATGGGGAAGGAGACGGAGAAGGCTCTGCATCCATTTGATGACTTAGGAGCTCTACCGTTTCGATGTCGGAGTAAGGATGCTCCATTTGGTGGACAGGGGAGTCCAAGACATGGATGGTCGGTATCGGTGGAGGGGCTTGGGCCCCGGCATCGATACTGTCGTTGGAGTGGGAGGCACTTTAGGGGCATCACTCAGTGCAGCCACCGCTACTTTCCCCTTCTTTGCCACCTTAAGGGGTTTGGAAGAGCCCTTCTTTGTGGACTTTTGCTCCTTACTTGGCTTGGACTTCTTTTTCACCGGTGTGGAAGCGGAGGATTGCGCCTTCGATGCCGGAGGCTTCGGTGTCGGTTGGCCGATATCGAAGGCAGGCCTCAATGCCGGAGCCGTTGAGGTAGATGGTTTCTCAGCATCCATCGCTGAGGAAGGATGTAGGGCCGATTCAAGCAGGGCCACTTTAAGGCACGCAGCTTGGTTTTTTCGGGTCTGGTTTGAAAACCAAGCACAGTGGCCACAAGATTCGGGTCGATGAGACTCTCCGAGACAAAGAATGCAAAGGGTATGACGGTCAGGAGAAGCAAGTTTACTACCGCAACCCTTGTACCCAATGCTCCCTCTAAGCTGTAGAGTCCCGTGAGCAAAAATTCTACTTTGTGAGCTGCTGGCATTAAAGTTGTGAGCCAGTGATTTGGCTACTGCGTAAATCAGTTTGCTCTGGAGCCCTCCTTCCTGAGCTAAGACAAAAATGTGTGAGCTGGAGGCTAGAAAACTGTGAGCTAGCTCACACTAACTCAGCTTAGAGGGAACACTGCTTGTACCTATTTAAAAAGCCCCACTTCTTCGCTATAAAAACCAAAGTGAAGAAGAAAGAAGGGGGGGGTAGCCCAAAGGCCCGACTGAGGTAAAGCGGCAACCTCCCCCCTCAGCAGAAAACAAAGTTGGTGGTTTTTTTAAAGTTTTTGAAAGAACAATGAAGAAAATGAACTGAGGAAAAAATCCAAAGAGCCGTGAGGCAAAAAGCCAAAACACGCGAACCGATCAGACCGACGAAGAAAGAGGTATTTCCAATGCGGCGGTAAGAAAGGAACTGGCAGGATGTCCGCGCCCACCCCTCTGGCCATGCGCGGTGGGGTTCCTGTGCATGCCCGAGGGACTGGGCATGAAAATCCGTTAAAGAGCTTGCTACAATGCCAATCGATCCAGCGCGTGCGCACTAGATCCCATGGGTGTGAAGCATAGAGACCATGTCGAAGATCACTTTCATACCAAAATCCTTGCCATAGTCATATGCAAACAAGGCTTCCTAAAATAGGTCTTTCACACACTCAGTGACATGACAGATTTAAAGAGTGGGTCAAAGGAACATTTAGTACACTCAAAGGAATAATGCAGCTCTTGGGAATTTGGTTATGCTCATTCTCACCTAAAGCATAAATCCAGCCTAAAAAGGTAAAGGTAAAGGTTCCCTTGCTCGAAAGCCAGTCAAGGCCGACTCTAGGGTTGCGGCGCTCATCTCCGTTTCAAAGCCGAAGAGCCAGCGCTGTCCGAAAACGTTTCCGTGGTCATGTGGCCAGCATGACTAAACACCAAGGCACACGGAACGCTGTTGCCTTCCCACCGAAGTGGTACCTATTTATCTACTTGCAATTTCTTGCTTTCGAACTGCTAGGTTGGCAAGAGCTGGAACTAGAGACGGGAGCTCACTCCATCATGCGGCACCCGGGTCTCCAACTGCTGAACTACTGACCTTCCACAGCCTGCAGTTCAGCGTCTTAACCACTTGAGCCACCGCAGCCTACAGAATCCAGCCTACAGAAGCGTTATTACAGTGTTGATTCCACAAAATGAGACACTGCAGTGAAAGCAGCTGTAAGCTTGACCCAATTTGTGCCCTACAGGTGTGGCTATGGGCATGCACTACACTCTACATGTCGCAGGTGGAGCCTGATGGAAGAAGAAATTCCGCACATAGAGGCTACAGCCACAGGACGCAATAATCTGGAGGGACATGGATTACACCTATGTTAGACATAAATAGTTGTCACAAGGCAATTCGAAAGTGACCAAAACTACCACAGGTGACGAAATCAGATTATGTTTTATCTCATAGATTCTTGAGGGTTCTTATAGATTAGTACCTTTATTTGCTGTCGCCTGAGCATTGCAAGTTCCCTCATATCTCGAAATGGCTGCAGTAAGTACTGATAGAGTTCTGTGGTGGCTTCAGCAAGGCTACTATATGCTTCATCTTCCATTTGATACAACTCAAGCAGCTCTACCATGCTTTCTGTATTCTTATGTTTTTCCAGGAGCTGTGTACAAAAAGATCAAGCAAAATCATTTGTCAGTACACATTCACACTTTTTTTGTTATCAAGGCAAAAGCAGATATATATTGATGGATTAACATTTGTAACTAGTTAGTCTTGCTAATACTTTAATGAATAGTAATGACATCAGTTGTGCCACAATTATACACTCAGTCACACATATAAGCTACATGACATTAATGACTCGTACACAAGCAACTGCACAAAGGGCTTCAGCCTTCATTTCAACCTTGCATATCTATTCTGTTCCAACCCAGGTTCTACAACTTCATATATTTCTGAAATACATCAGTCTCAGCTATATTATCCAAAGCCTTCAGCCATTTACAAGAAATTTCAATTTATTGTTCACTAAATAATCAACTGTATGCATGTAAATTGAAGCTCAACAATATTATGCATGTGGGGATTTTGCTTTGTTGCATGAAATTATACAACAAAGAAGTGCAGGCCCGCCTCCCAGTTTATTTTGCTTTTTGTTACTGTCAGCATTGTTTCTCTATTTATTAATCACCTCTACTCACAAACATGCCTGAGGAGTTGTACAATAAAGATATTGGGGCTGAAATGTGTCTGCAGTGGCTAGTTTCAATGTACATACAAGGTTTGACACCTTTATTTACTATTAAAATTTGGTGTTGCATTTCAAGAAGAGATGTCCAACAACTGCAAAGAGCAACTTTAATTTTAAGTGCATTACAAGAATGGTATATTCTTTAGAAGTACAGCTAATGAAACAAATACATCATTTTCTTAGGTGCTCACAATGAGCTCCTTATCTGAAGTTCTAATAGATGCTTTCTTTTCACACTGTTCTCTTCAACCAGGTTATCTGACAACAAGCTGTTCCGCCATCTCTCTCCTCCACTGGGGTGAAGATGATTCTTAAGTAGCTCTGTGGTGGCCTCAGCTAGAATTACTGGGAACTGGATCATGGACAGCTCCCACCAGGCTCTTCTGTCTTTTTTCTCCTCCCCTCTCAGAAATGCCGTTTTTAGTAGTCCTCTGGTGGCCACTGGACAAAATAGTTCCTAAGCAGCCTGGCTGTGGCACTCACTCGAAAGCTTGATTACGGGCAGCTTTCTCCTCCCACAAGGGCAAGATAGGTCTTTAACAGCTTTGTTTCCCTCACTTTTCAGTCTATTCTGTTCCTGTGATGGGGTTTGTAAGGGGGAGGGGTGTTTTTTAAATTACATTTTCTTGCATGCCTTGGGAGTCCCCCCAGTTTGTCTCTGGATGGTCTTGTTGTGGTGCCCAATTGGTTTACAGGGGTCCCACTGAGTATTTTATCAGAAGGAATGATATCTCTCCAAGGTAATTTTTATATTTCTGTTCCACATTGCTTCATTGTTTTGATGTTATTCGCATAAGGGAAAATTATGTTTTGAAGTTATTCACATAAGGGGGGGAAATTATTTTTATTTTTCTACACTGCTTGCAGTTAAGACAAGTAGCTTATTTAGTTCAGAATGCTGTCTTCCCGCAGTTGGTGAAGGCCCAGAAAGCCCAGACGAGTGGCACAGAGGCCCAAACCTTCCCTTGTTGCTGTTCCACAACACCTGGCATGAAGAAGAATACAGTTTCCAAACATGCTCCAAACTTTCAACCACCATGCCTAATACCCATCGAGAGACCTATCCTCTATGAATTAGCCCAATGCTCTTTTAATGCTCTCCAGGCTAGTGGCTCTTTAATGCTCTCCAGGCAATCTCATGGCAGTGAGTTCCACATGTTAATTATGCATTGTATGAAGAAATACTTTCTTTTGTTTATCTTGAATCCACAGTTTAAAGACTATAAATAATTTGTCAGCAGTATTTTGAGAGGCTGAAGTCTTTGTGTAAAGAGATATCACACTAAAATAGTGGAGGGGGGTACACAGCACAATCATTTCCATGTAAGTGCATTTGTCTTTGCATAGAAAGACTAGCACAGACCTCGAGAGAACCCTGTTTCCTGCCCCTCCTTCTCATGGGTGCACAGAGAGGTACTACAAAGCAGCAAGCTTGAATACGCTTAATGGAACTTGCAGGGAGTGGATCAGGCCCTTACATTTTATTCTTTTTAAATCAGAAAAAATGTTTAATGGGAAAACTTCAGGAGTTTTTTGTAAACGGGAAAATATGAGCGTCGTGTGTTTGTTCAGCAAGCCAGATACAGACTCTGTTGAGATGTCCAGACCAGACCTTTACACAGTCACTGTTACAAGTCGAGACAATTGTGGGTGACTCATGTAGCTTAGCCACAATATCAACCACAATCAGGAATTAAGAGTCTGGGAGGGAAACAGCTTTTCTCAGTCCAAAGCCCAGAATCAGCACTACACCCAGGGTGCAGCGTCCCCCAAGGGCTCTTCTAAAATCCACTCCTAGAAGCCCCGTCCCCCCGACTCTCTCAGAAATTACAATCATGAGCACCACTTGCTAGAGATAATGGAGAATCCACCAGGAAGTCTCAGAGCATTGCAGAAGTACATAAACCTAGGAAGTACATAAACCCTAGGAAGATGAAGCTAGGCTGGATCTTGCTGGGCCTGCTCCAGGGTACAAGAGCTCAGTCTGATTCTGTCATCTGTTGGAACGAGTCAGAAGACCTGGAGCTATGTGAGGTCCTACAGCTAGCATCCAGCTGAGCCGGTTTTCTAACTCCTTGTTCTGCAGACAGACATCACCTGTGGTAATCCTTCAATTTAGAGCCTGTTCCTGCAAGAACTCGGCTTGGATCCCACAGGGCACAGCAAAGACAAAACACAGGGTAATATTAAACAGCTTTGCTTAAAACAAAAGTGAAGCATGCTCATGATGTTATATATCACAACTTTGTGACAAATGGAACAAAACCATTAGTATAGACTCTTCAACGTAAGGCATCTCCAAAGCCTTGCTCAGATAATGGCATACAGCTCTTTAATGTTTCTCCATACTCTTATCTTTTAATAAACAAACTCAAACTATATGTATACAGACAAACCTGGTTCTACAGTCCTGAATGGGAAACTGATCAGACAGTTTAACTCTTCAAACTGAAAAGCTTTACACAATCACTATCAAGAGGAGATGCAAGATTTCACTTAGCAGTTTTCAAATTGAAATCTTTAGAAATGGACTCCCAAAATTTAGTACAAAAATGCCCAGCTGCAAAATGTTAATAGCTAAACATTCCACAAAAAACATTGCAGTCATTCATGCTGCAAATATAATTTGCAAATTCAACCATTCATGCTACTCGTGTAGGAAGAAAAACCTCACAAGCTAATTTTTTCTTCCTCTTCCTGTGACGTGGAGGTCACCCAGCTTCAGTTCCAGGACTCTGAAAAGCAGTAAACTAATTAACTCCAACCTACATGGACTGATAACATCAACAAATAAGCAGTGGGAATTGCAGTAACAAATCAGAGAGATACTGGGGAAAAGTCAAGAAGCATAGATAACAAGAATTCTGATGATGACTCTGGGAGAGGCAAGGTGTCCTCTTTACCTCAGAAGTGAAGGACCTTTCATGGTAAGTGACCAATGGCCCGTTCTCCTTCTGAGGGGAGGACATCTTGAGGGACCTCCCAAAGCAGTGTCCTCAGATAAGGGTGAGTCATCGTCTAGGTGTCTAAAATGTGTTGCAGGACCCTGTGGCCAAAGGCAGCATCAGCTGAATCATAAGTGTTTTAGTTTATAGTGGCGAACAAAGGTGGAGATGGATACCACATTGCCGCTTTGCACACTTCTTCCACTGATGCGCGATTGGCAAGGGCTGCACTCATTGAATGTGCGGTAATTCCAGTTGGAACCTTCATTCCCTGTATCTTATAGCCCTCTGCTATGCAGGATTTGAGGGTACGGCTTATAGCCAGTTTGGACATCTTCATCCCCAGGTTAGGGAGAAAGACATTTATGAAGAGAGAGACTGATTTTCTCATGCCTTCCATCCTATGTTAGAAAATCTTGAATGCCCTCCTAATGTTGAGCATGTGCCACACTCGTTCTTTGGGATGTTTTGGCCCAGGGCAGAAGAAGGCTAGGTAGATCTCCTGAGACCTATGAAAAATTGAAGAAACCTTAGGTAGGAAGGTCAGGTCTGTGCATAAAATCATGTTGTCCTTGTGAAAGATACACAATTCCGGTTTCACTAATACAGCCCTGTGAGGAAGAGTACCTTCATCCATACCCATTTCAGCGACACTTCCTTCAAGGGCTCGAATGGGGCGGGCTTTAGTTACAGCAGATAATACCGCATGCAGTTTCCAGGATGGGAACCTGTAGATCTGAGAGGGGCGATATGAGTACAGTGCCCCGCAGAAAATGACACACATGAGGATGATTAGTCAGGTTATACCTGTTTTATTGTGCTAAGACTGTGTTAAGTGAAGTTACCTGTCTCTTCAGTGTAGCAGGTTTGAGCCCAAATGCCAAACCATCCTGGAGGAAGGATTTCGAGTGGTGGTTCAAAGGGGTTGGTCTTTCCTCTTGTACCTTCTAAAGCAGGCCTCCCAGGAGGTGTAGAAAATCCTGACAGCAGAATTTCTTCTGGATGCCAACAGTGTGTCGGTCACCTCACTGGATACTCTAGACTGGAGAGCCTGCTGCTGATTACATCTTTTGACATGTCCTTGATCATTCTCGCTTTGCTCTCTGTGAGAAAGAGGTGATTGGACCTGGTGTCAATTATTAGCCCCAGATGTTCCAGCCTTTGGGAAAGTATTAGTGAACTCTTCTGCAGGTTGATCTGGAATCCATTCTTCTGTAGGCATTTGATGGTTGCTGTTATGTCCTGCATGAACTTGGTTCTGGAACTTGACCTGATAAGGAGATTGTTGAGATACAGGTGAATGTGTATCCCATGTTTCTGAAGAAAGGCAACCGGGTTTATTAACATTTCTGAGAACGCCCTTGGGGCCATGGAAAGGCCGAATGGGAGGGCCTTGTACTAGAAGTGCATGTTTCCCACACAGAACTGAAGACAGCACCTGTGAACTGGTAAAGCAGATAAGCC